ATCGGTGACAAGAAACCAAGGGGGTCAAATAATTTAGCAATGAATGATAGTGAATTCCTTTTTGTAATCTCACCCTCAGCATGAAAGCTGAATGTGAACTGGAAGACGTCGCTTTTCGGTTGCCATCGAAATCCTAGAGCATGAACCACAGTATCGTCATCAATATCAATAGATATCGAAGTTATCTGTTCCTTCATGGAAATTGAAAGGAATATATCTGTTGGTTATTTGACTATTTTTGCAATCTGAAACCATCCGCCATGCAGAGCTGCTTTAACTAGTTAATAATCTCCTGAGCCTCCTCGATTGTGTCCGCTCCTTCGAAGAGATCATCTACATATCTTCCTTTTTGTAGACAAGGGACGGCTAATGGAAAATGTGAACCTTCGTCAGATATCAATTGCTAAATAGTTCGTAATGCTAAAAAGGAGACACAGGCTAACCCGTAGGTAACTGTGGTCAATTGATAGATACATAAGTGAATTATCTAATCATAGTATTCTTTGAAAATTCCAATCGTCTTGGTCAACCTCAATTTGACGATACATTTTCTCCATATCTGAGGGAAAGATATATCTGAATCGACGAAACCAGATCAAGACATCGAATATGTCTATTTGTAATTTAGCTCCTGTGCAAATCGTTTAGAGAAAAATCTGATGTAATAACGCTTGATCCATTAAAAACGCGTAATTTGCTCGTAAGGTTTTGCTCTCGTTTAACTCCGTGATGAGGAAGATAAAATGCATAAGGCGGTTCGAGAATGTTCTCAGGAACAATCCTCATATAATTAAGTCGTTCATATTCATTTAGAAAATCGGAATACAGCTTTTTATATTGAGAATCAATCGAAAGTTTGTTAGATAATCTAAGCATCATACGAGTGGCTTTTTTCTTCGAATCTCCTAGCTGTTTTCTTTTCTAGAGGAATAGAGAACTTGAGAAGTATCTTTTATTTCCGACTTAGCACTTGATTCTGCTTCAAATGATTGATCCAACTTCCTTGTTTCTCCAGATTCAGACGAAATGGTCTTAAACTTAATAGTGTCAAAGTTTCCATGATGGAGTGAAACATGGTGCTTTCCGGCACATTGTTTACAATGAACTGATATTCGACAATTAGCTGCCTTGTGTGTCCAAAACAATTATAGTAAAAATTAAATTATGTCTTCTTACTAAAGACACTCGTTATTGTAAAAGTTTCGACTTATACTGCGGGCAAAACAAATAAATCTTAATTGTCAGCTTAAATCAATGCTCTTTCGATTTTCGAACTTCATCCCTTAACCCCAAAATTAGTCTATATTCAAAAGGTAAGTCATTGAAAATGACTATATCTAAAACTTCATTAATGAATTCTGGCACAAATTTGGTACAAAAATATATAATCTTTAATTTTTGAACTACAACCCCTTAGCACGAAAAACCCTTGTATTTTTCACGCAAGAGAGAACTATGTTCCAGTATGAAAAAATATATCATTTAATGATGGAAAATTATCTATTGATTTAGGAGCTTATGAAATACGTACAAACCGATTTTTGAACTGCAACCCTTTAGCAGGAAAACCACTCCTTGTTCTTTTCACGAAAGAGAGAACTATGTTCCAGAATGGAAAAATAAATCATTTTATGACGGGAAATTATCTGCTGATTTAGGAGCGAAATACACACAAACTAATTCTTGAGCTGCAATCTCTTAGCAAGAAAACCACCCTTTGCCTTCTTCACGCAAGAGGAAACTATGTTCCATAATGGGAAAATAAATCATTTTATGACCGGAAATTATCTGCTAATTTAGGAGCTCACGAAATACACACAAACCGATTTCTGACTTGCAACTTTTTAGCCGGAAAACTACTCCATGTTCATGCAAGAGAGAACTGTTTCAGTATGAGAAAATAAATCATTTAATGGTGGAAAATTATCAATTTATTTAAGAGATCGCAAAATACATCCAAACTGATTTTTAAGTTGCAATCCCTTAGAAGGAAAACCTTGTCCTTTTCACACTAGAAAGAACCGTATGTATTATAAAATTGGAAATTAAATCATTTTATGACGGAAATTTGTAGTCTTCTTCTATTAAAAAAATCTTCTATTAAAAAAAAGTACATATGAATCGTAATATAACATTTCGTATAACTATTCTCCTAAACCTTTTTGTTTTAATAAATATAATATTATACAGTATAGGTAAAATGTCCTGGAATGATCGGAAGTAGCTCGAAAATTAAGCATTTCTAAAAGAAATTTCCTACAGAACTTATTTTAAATGCTCTATTCACTGATCTGGTCAGTTTAACCTTAGGTCGCCAAAGTCAGGTCAAGGTCACATCGATTTTTTTTTAATAGCACATTCTGTTTTTGATTTCAGAATCTAATAGCTGGTATTAAATTTTTCAAAACACTATAATAATTTTTTTTGTCAAAATATTTGTCGAGTTATGGAGCTAAACTGCATACGGTCAGCATTAGCATTACGCAAGATGTCCGACTATAACCTTTTGAATGCTGTTCAGAATCAAATTCTGAATAACATTTGTTAAGATCAAGGTCATTGGAGATTGTTTTCTTATTTTCCTTTTTACACCGAAAATTCATTTTTATGTAAAATAGTTTTTATATTTTTATGTAAAATAGTTCTTTCTAGCGCGAAAAGGGCAGAAAGTGATTTTTCTGCTAAGAGATTGTAGCTTAAAAATCGGTTTATGCGTATTTCGCGACCTTCTAAATCAGCAGATAATTTGCCGTCATAAAATGATTTATTTTCCCATTCTGGAACATAGTTCCCTGTTGTGTGAAAAGGGCAAAGAGTGATTTTCCTGCTAAGAGGTTGCAGTTCAAAAATCGATTTATGCGTATTTCGCGAGCTCCTAAATAACAGATAATTTCCATCAAAAAAGCAAAGGATGATTTTCCTGCTAAGAGGTTGCAGCTAAAAAATTAAAGATTATATATTTTTGTACTTGATTTGTGCTAGAATCATATTCATTAATAAAGTTTTAGATATAGTTCTATTTTCAATGACTTACCTCTTGAGTGTAGACTAGTTTTGGGGTTTTAGAAATAAGAGATGGAGCTCGAAAATCCAAAGAGCACTGATTTAAGAGCTCATAAAGTGCTCTTAATTCTGAGCCTAGGAACGATTTTTTATTGTTAATGTTGATGGGCGTCCACTCAGCCCCCTCTTCCACTTTTAAATTAAGATTCCTGCTAACCGATATAAGCTTAAAAAATTTTTTTATGAGGTTTGGAAGCTCATAAAAAAAAAATTACTTCAAATTCTACGTTATTGCATTCTAAGTTATTAGATCTTCCTTGATTTCTGCTGTCAATTTTTTGTTAAGTTATATCAACAGATTCTGCTTGGTTTCTGCTCGCAATCTGCTATCAGATTCTATTAGCAGATTCTCTTTGAAGATTCTCTTTTTCTGCTATCAGTTTATTTGCACAGAATGTTAACAGGTTCTGTTGGCAGAATAGGAGCAGAATGCGATATCAGCTGTGGTCAGTCTGCTAATCTTCTGATTAAATCTGATTCCAGTCTGTTGACATTCTGCTACTAACATTTTTCTATCTGAGGAAGTATATTAAATATTACGCAACGTTATGCGTTGATGAATGAATTATTAGAACATTAGCTTCGTCTCGCTATAACGAAAATTGAAGTCGATATTGCAGAAATTATTAAAGACATTTAAGTGTTGAAAATAACCCTGGCTGCACAACGTATAGTGAGAAAATATAAAAAAAAATAAAAGTTTACAATAGAGAAGGGGTCCACATTATTACGACGATCTACGTCATCCCTGAACTCGGCCGAGTTGGAAGAGGAATCGTCTGTTGGAGAAGCCGGCTCGCGAGCCACATTTTGCCAGACCTGGGATGAAAAGTTAAGGAAGGAAGGGTGTAGAGGGTGCGGGATACTCAAATTGAACGAACAGTCGTATCTTCTGTCATTGATGGTGTTACTGATCTATTAACTTTTCTTGTATAAACATAAATTTCTATCTTAAATTAAGTATTCACATATCATCATGAAAAATTAGTTCTGATACAATATATTGTAGTTTAAATACAGTGGATAAAAATCTGGGATGGATCATATATATTTTTGTATTTTTGTCAAACATTATTCAATTGTGGCAGAATGGGTCGGACATAGTAAAGAATTTCGCATCGTTTTTATAAGTGGCGCATAAAGAGATTGGGCACTTTGTTGTGGGATAGTCTTAACATTATAGTTTTTAACATTATAGCAGAAATAAGACGTTTTTTAATTTTCCTTGTTAATAACTTTTGAACAAAACATGATTGCGGAATAAAAATCTTCTGAAGATCACTCAAGGCCACAATCTTGAAAATATATGTTACAATCAAGATTATCAGAATTGGAGCTATTATTTTCATCATTTACTCGAATTAATACATGTGTATATTAATAAAAACAATAAGATAGGAAACAAGACCGTTTATGTTAAATAACATTACTTTAAAATCCGAAGCGTCACTACGGTCTGAGTATTGAGATGTTGAACTAATATATATATATTTTCAAATAAATGAATTAATTTCAGAAATGATAATTGCGTGCCGATATGGTTGTCGGCATTAAACGCAATTGATCTGACATATTAACAATCCTCTCAAATTTCCCAAATTAATCTTAAAAAATTGTAATAAACTTATTGCGAAAAATATTGCTTCGGCCGGGAATTGAACCCGGATCTCTTGCATGCGAGAGTCCTGAGCCTTTAGACTACCGAGACCTTAGCAATAATTCTTCGCAATAACCGATATGTATAGAAAATAACGCATTTTTTCAGCGCGCATGTAATTATCATTTCTGAAATTAATTCATTTGTTTGAAAATATATATATATTAGTTCAACATCTCAATACTCAGACCGTAGTGGCGCTTCGGATTTTAAAGTAATATTAATAAAAAGTTTTTTAAATAAATTAAAAAGTATATTTCAAGGAATCAATAATATTTACGTTCAATGGATCGGCTAATTGTGTGAAATAGGGATTCCATGTGTATCCTGCTGCTACGCATCGCGTATCCTTTATTTTCACCGCGGCATCTACACCCACAGGGTTCACATATATAGCCCAATTATGATTTCTGGTCTAAAATTGAACGAAGTTAACATAATGTATGTTAGATATACATTCGATAAATCTCATTTTCTTACAGTATTGCGATTATGCTTTCCAGGATGTCGTAAATTTACTTCGATTATTGTCTCACTCTGACTACCATCTTTATAAACAAGCTGCGTCTACAATTGTACATTGTCTTAAAAAATCGTGTATCTTTTCAAGTAAAATTTTTACGTAAAACTTTCATTTAACAAATTACCATTCTTATGTAGCCATACAAAAAACCTTGTGGATGATGAAATGATGCTATGGCACTTAACTCATAAGCATCAACTAAAGAATATCCTCGTTCTATAGTAGAGCAGGCCCACCTAAATACAAAAATATTAATATTCTAAAGTAAGACTAAATAAAAATATCGTGGACGAAAGCATTGAAAGTTCCAAATACATATTGTTTGGAAATAAAGTTAATATTTTGAAAAAATTATTTATAACAATTAATTGTAACAATTAAAGAATGAAACGAAAATAATGGCTTAGTAAAACAAAAGATTTAATTAATTTATATACAATATCAAAAGGCTTTTTAAATCAACATTTGGTTTGTTTTATGTGGAAAAACTATACAGTCACAAAGAATAAAAGTTACAATAAAATCTAATCAAACATTTCAATCTTCTTTAATCTGATTATCATCGGTTACAAAAACTTATTTTAAATATATACAATCTGTCCGATAAGAGCGTGATCGATCTATATGAAAGAAAAATTTATTTATTAGCATTTAAATAATAATAATTATATTATAAAATTATGCAATATATTAAAATGCAATTATATTAATAATGAATGAGACATTTTCGATTCCGTTGAATGTGTACATAAAAATGCAGCTACAAAGTGCGTAAGTGGTACTCATTTTGAAATAGGCTCTTTCTAAGAATCAAATGATAATTGACAATATGGCTAATAACGCAACATGTACAAAGATGACATCTATTAGTACAAAAAAGTTAAAAGTGCACGACTTTTACCGGCTACAAATAATATCGCGATCACGCTCTTATCGGATAGACTGTCTAACAATCAGTGACCTGTCATTAAATAAATTATATAACTGTTGTATATCTAAAATAATTTCCTTCTTCAAAACTCTTCAATAATTTTTATTGTTTATCGTAGTAAATAAACTTTAAAGACTAGCCATTTTTTTATTAATATTTTAATTAGAAATGCACTGGATCATGGAATTATCGGATATCGGATATCCGGTGTCACAATCTTTTCGGATATCTAATATACGATCAGATAAATACGGTAAAATTATCCGATCGGATGTCGAATATTTTCTCGGATATCTCGCCGGATATCTAAAAAATGTCTTACAAAAAAGAGGGCAGCAAAAGAAAAATAGCGGTAATATTTTTTTCTAAAACATATAAAAAAATAAGAGCATAAAAAACCACAACACAAGTTCTAGTTTGTGATATTTAATTATTATTACATTAATTAAAACATTAAACGTTTCGGCCACAATCTGGCCATCTTCAGTAATTCAATAATATTCTTAAAACGCAGAGTTACATCTAGTTGACATTAAATTCAACAGTCGAGAGTTGTAATTAAATAAACATGTTCTTTTATATGTGAAGATGCTTCATACAGTAATGTTACAACGCCAGTTGTCATATCAAGAAAAGTGTAGAACAAGAAGTTCCAGATTCTAATTTAAATAAAATTGTATATATTAAAATCTTCTAGTCGGAATATAAAGAAATAGAATCATTACCTGTTTTGCACCAAAAAAACCAAACGATGAATCTCAAGTATTTCTTTTACACAATTAGAATTTTGTCGTGACATTATGTGTTGTTATTTGTCCTATCATGTATTTTACCACTATTTATGTATCTGAGTCAACAATTTAGAAAGTTCTAGAATTATTTATTAAAGGAAAGAGACATCCTTCTTTAGAAGAGGAAAATAAACCTCAGGCAAACCTTCCGTGTCACTTTGTTTATTGACATCACTTGTTTGTCTTTTTATATGTATCATTTTCGAAATTCTTCTTTTCACTAAAGATTGTTCTATATCTAAAATTCTTATATTATCCCAATCTAATTCATGCATCTCATTCATACGGTGACGTGAAACCACAGAAATTTCGGAAGAAGGTTTTCTTATATCGGCCTTATGTTCTTTAATCCGAGTTTTTAATATCCTTTTGGTTTGGCCAACATAAGAAGATTCACAGTTTAAGCAATAAATTTTATAAACTACTCCGCATTGGTCATCCTTAGGCAAAGAATCCTTTCCTATCTTAATAAATGTATTCAATTTATTCATAGGTTTATAAGCTATATTAAAACCGTACACATGTGTAAGTTTTTTAAATTTTTCAGAAACTTTGCCCAAATATGGTATCGTGAAAAATTTTTTTGAAGTAACATTAGAGTCACATTCATTATTAATTTCTTTACGATTTTGATCTAAATTAGTATTTTCCAAAGTTTTAATTCTATTATTTATTGTTGAAAATATAAACTTTAAAGGATAACCATTACTTAAAAACGTGTGAATTAATTCAGAGATATTTTTTTCATGAAATTTAGGATGGGATAAGAATAGAATTCTATCAAATTGCCCAATAATAACTCCCCTTTTGTGTTCTAACGGATGATTCGAAAAATAATTAAGATATCT